AACTGTATATGTGCACACATATCTCTGTTGCACAAATAAATCAAACTAAAGCAGCCTACTTCTTGTAGACTGGCATTAGGATAAGTATATCTTAAGAAAGTTCTTATTCAGACTTGGCTTCAGGCAATAAAACGTCATAGATGTATAACTCTAGTGAGTGAAATTTCTAGGGAGCAAATTAGGCTAAAAACATCTTCTAGAGACAGCTAGAAAGGAATCAGACACCACCCAAAAATAAGGCAAGTTATGCAGTAAATGTTTCACTTATTGGATTTCTTCCATTACTATTAGGGTTAAAAGACATGTTGTCAATAAAAAATGGTATATTTATGTAGGGCTCTGAATTTTAGAAGCCTATTTCTTCTCATTCACTCCTATGGTGCTTGATATCACCTCACGATGAAGTGTGAATAATCGCTGCATGAACGCATATCTCTGCCTATTAACCATTTTGTTATTAGACAGAATTATCTCTAACAAAAGCAAGAGGTACGTCTGTGTTTTAGGTGCCAAACGGGAAGTGTGTTTCTTCTGAGCCATAGCCACAACTTGGGAAACAGAAAGTGGATTTAAAGACATTAGACTGTGTTATGAGGTTGAAAACAAACAATGTGCAAGGGTTTTTTGTACCTATCTTCCAATTTTTCCCCCTCAAGAGTGGGTAGAAAGCCCAATCCTATTGCTCAACTACTGCACCACGACTTGGTCAGTACATGCAAAATCTAAAGTCTCAAAGAAATCTAGTAGCACCACAATCTGATTGTTTGTTGACATTTTCCCATTTTACAGTTGTCTTCAATTTTAACGTGTGCTTGTTTTGGTCAAAGCAAATGAACACAGACAGGAGATGTAATTTCTGTGTTTTTTATGCCATCATATTGCCTGTTCTAGAAAAAAAAAAAAATCCCCTCATTGCTAACTCTGGAAGAGCTAGCACTGGAAAGGGACTGGGCAGATGTGTTTGCTTTGTGCTGTTGGAACCTTTTCAATATTGAAATCTTTTTGACATTCAGAGCAGATTTAATGATCCAAGATTATTTGTAAACATACAGACTCCTTTGAGCTGTAGACTCAAATCCCAGCCTGGTCAACCAAAGTGCTTTTATCTTTCCAAAATAAATAACTTGAATTTTACACATTGCAACTTACATTGGGACCTTTTGGAGAAGACCACGAAAATGGATGATTCACCCCTGATATGTAAACATTAGCTGGGAGATCCAGCTGGCAGTTAGCAGACCATATTTCTCCAATACAGACTTGGGCCTCTGGTGTGATATTAAAGATTCCACTGCATTTCTCATAAAACAATACATTTCCTTGGCTGCCCCTAGTCAACCTCTTCCCTTTCCAGTTCACTGCAATATGAAATGGCAGGCAAACCTCACGTGCTTCACTGTTGCTGTTCATGAGATTCTGCAGGATTCTTAGGACTGAAATGTGCCCAGGTGTAACGTAGTGACTGCCCTGTTAGTAACCAAGCCCCATTGCTCAGCATGTGGTGCAATGTACCGAGTTGGGAGAGTTACAGAAGCCTGAAAAGAACCACTTCTTCACCTGCACCATAGGTCAGCTTGAACAAAAAGCCATAGTCTCATGAAGTCTGAACTTGGAGCACCTGGCTTTGTCTCTACGGTTGTTTGTTAAAATCAGGTATCTAAACAAAAAGTCATGATTCATGCTGCAGATTAACTTGGTGCTCTTCTGAATATTGTACTTTTTTTTCACTGGTAAATGGTATACTGTTTGATTTTGTTTGTTTGTTTGTTTGTTTGCTTGTTTAAATCTGAGGTATGACCTGAGACCCCACTTTTCAACAGGAGCTGTTGACCCCTTGAGGGCTCTCAAGGGGCCAACTCTCTCCCCAGTGTGATCAGAGACTCTTGCATAAATGAAAATGGTACAAACAAGATGCATAAGCTATCCTAAGCGACTCGTGTGACCTTAATTAAATCATGTTGTGTTATCATTGTCAAATCATTGACAATACTTAGACTTCAAGCTGTAGGTTGAAAGCAGTAACCTTTATGTTTGCAATCAGAAGGACTCAATGTTGCCATAAAGGATGCAAAGTGCTTTCCCAGACAGTCCTGAGGCTCCTCTGAGCCCACTGTGATGGCAAATCCCAGTTGTGGTGGTAAGATCCCAGCAGTGGGAACACACAGAGCTGGGACACTACTAGGAGATGCCAGAGCTAGGAGCACCTTGTGGCTCAGAGCAGATGACACTCAGCTCACTTTTACTCATTGTACTCACTGACCCAACATTTACTCATGTTAGGAACATCACTTGTGGTCCAGGGGACCAAAACCCTTGGGAATAGCCTGGTGGTACTGCTGGAAGCACTGAATAAGGCCCTTCTTCTGCAATGGCTTTGGGCAAGGCCTGGGCCTGTCTTGATCACCAGCTTTTGATGGTGCTTAATAATTAGTCAACAACCACACTGGAACTGAAGTGCACTTACTTAAAAAACAACAACAAAACAAACAAACCTACAGAAGATTGGAGAAAGGTCTTTGAGAAACAAAACAAAACCGTGCAACTTTTTTTGTTCATTTGGATCAAATAATAACGCGTGGCCCTGCAAAGTCAATAAGAGTGTCACATTTGTGTTTCTGATCTCATATTGTTCTGGCATATGAAGGTATTCTAAAAATCAAAAAGCAAACAGAAATGGAGAAGGTTTGTTAAGGTGCTACTCTGCAAACCAAAGACAGCGAGTCCATCACTGGGGCACTGGGAAGTGTGAGTGCCTGCAGGGAGTTATTGAGCCAAATCTCAAAAAGTAGAATCAAGTTAGTGGAAAAACTGGTGGAAAAGGAAACTGTTCAATCCATTTGTACATTGATTTAACAGTGAAGTATCTCATTCTTCACATTTTTACTGGGTGTCTTGAAATAATCCTTTTTCTGTCTCCATATTCCCACTTAGACATTGTTCACAGACTTATTTATTTATGAAGTCTGAAGGTTAGTCCCTACCTGCTGAGACTAATTAGCCCTGTTCTTTGTGTCCTATGCAATCCTGTCTGATTAAATGTACACATTTGTTTTACTTCTTTTCATGCTTCCTTTCGCTCTACTTCTGCTTTACTGATTAATATTAAAGTTGTAAGTTGCAGTGATTTTTTTTTATTTCTATTTTGTCTGTATCTTTCCCTTTAGTATGCAAATTTCTATGTGAACTTTTTAATGCCTGAGAATTCGCGTTAGCCTTGTCGATCTCCGTATTATTATTTTTATTATTCTTTTTAGAGAAGACAGTTTAGCCGAAACCCCCAAACTCTCTAAATATTGCATGACAAATTGGCTTTGTTTTGGAAACCCTCTGCGCTGAATGGCCCTCAGTGTGAGCAGCAGGTTAGATTTCTCGAGGAATGTTTGGATTATTTAGCACAGCTCCCTTTCCAACACCATTTCCACGAGGCGATTTACTAATTCCCATTGAAATCCCCGTTTCTTCACCCCCCCCCCCCTCCTTTTTGCCCGCGTTAAAGTTTCCAATTGACTCTGCCATTGTTACAATTTGTCGCTGTACAACACCAATTTGTTGCCCGTCCCCTCGGCGCGCAGCTCTCGGGCAGCAGATGCCTCGCGGTGCGGGGCTGTGAGCGGTGCGGGGCTGCGCGCAGGGGCACCGCTTCGCCTTCGCCTTTCCCCACCGCGCTCTGTTGACGTCGCCGCCTCAACTTTTCGCTTCTGAAGTCTGCGAGTCCTTGATTCTCCGTCCTGCCATGCTAATTAACTTCTTAGCAGTCACATTCCTTTTCCTCCTCCTCCTCCTCTTTTTTTTTTTTTTTTTAACTTCACATCAAGNAAAAAAAAAAAAAAAAAAAAAAAAACCAACAAACCACCCAACATGGAACAACGCAGCGCGCCTCGCTCTGCGATAATTCGGAAAGATCTGATGTTCAGGGACTGATCCCGCACGTTTGAATCCTGCGTGCTACCGCCGTGCTACGCGCGAGGAGCAAGTGCTGCTGACCAAAGGGCTCTGACCACGTTACGGGGCTTGTCACGCACGGAGTTTCTTACCCCCAACGAGGGTTACCAAGCCCTCCCTCCCCCCCAACCCTGCGATGCTGATCCTGGGGCCGCCTACCCTCCGGAGGACCCGCACCCCGCTGGGCGATGCGCCCATAGAGCCGACCGCGGTCCGCAGCGTCGGCCGCGGAAAAGTTCGCTCTCGCCCAGCGCGCAGCCGAGGGCACTTCTGCCTCTTCGCCCCCACCTCCAGAGTCCGGCGCAATTTTTATTCTTAATTTAATGTAATTTTTTTTTTTTTTTCCCCGCCCCTCGCCCTCCTGCTCCGTGCCCCAAAGGATCATTGTTAGCTCTGCCTCCCCCACCCTCCTCCTCCCCCTCCCGGCCCCAGAGCTGTTTATTTATGCAGACGTCACCGGGAGCCCCCGCCCCCTCCTGCATCTCATTAAGTGCCTGGTGTGCTGCTCGCTCCCTGTCAATAATCCCGGATCCCAGACTTCTCCGTTCCTCCGGATTTCGATCCCCCTTTTTCGAGCTGTCAATCAGCGCCGCCTTTGAACTGAAAAGCTCTCAGTCCAACTTCAACTCACTCAAACCCGAGCGGCACAGGCTCCCAATATCGGCGGCGCTGCCCCCCCGTTACAGCTGACTTCTTTGGTTTGTTTGGTGCATTATTTTTTTTCCCCCCCTACGACCCCTTCCCCCCCCCCTCCCCTCCCCCCGGCTCTATATTTTTGATTATTATTAATTTTTCGCGAGTGCGGGTGCGCGCCGTGAGCAGCTCCGGGAAGAAAGAAAGAGAAAATCCAGAAGAAGGGAAGGAAGAAGCCCAAAGTCACTGGTGCAAAGGAGCAAAGGAGAGACATTTCCCTCCCCTCCTCCTCCCTCTTTTCCCCTCCCCAGGAGGAAAGAGAAGGGGAAAAAAAAGAAACTTTCACCTTGGACTCTTCTTTTTTTGGTGCAAACTTTCCCCCCCCCCTCCCCTGTTCTTTTTCCTTTTTTCCCCCCTCCCCGTTCCCCTCCTTTTTTTTTTTTTTTTTTTTCTCCTTTTTTTCCCCCTTCCCCTTTTTGCAAAATTGCTGCTGGTGGGGTGAGGCAGGAGGAAAATGCCGCAGCTGAACGGCGGTGGAGGGGACGACCTGGGCGCCAACGATGAACTGATCTCTTTCAAAGACGAAGGGGAGCAGGAGGAGAAGATCTCCGAAAACTCCTCGGCCGAGAGGGATTTAGCTGATGTCAAATCGTCTCTCGTCAATGAATCAGAAACGAATCAAAACAGCTCCTCGGACTCAGAGGTACGGGGAACCCCGCGGGGCCGTGCGGGCGGCGGGCGTGGGCCGCAGCGGGGCCGGGGCCGCCGGGTCCCGCTCCCTCCGGCGCCCAACTTTCCTCCGCGGCACCAACTTGTAACGATGCCTTCTGTTTTGTTCTGTTTTCTCCTGTTTTGTCCTTTCCCCCTTCCCCCACACCTCCTTTCTTCCACCTTCACCCCACACCTTTCCTTCCCCCCCAACCCACCCCCCCCACACGCACACCACCATTACCAAAACACCCCCTCCCCGCTCTTCCCACGCCGACCCCGGCCCTCTCCCAGGCGGAGCGGCGGCCCCCGCCTCGCTCCGAAACTTTCAGAGATAAATCCCGGGAAAGTTTGGAGGAAGGTGAGTACGGCCCGGCCCGGCCCGCAGCCCCTCCGCCCGATCCCCACTGCGGGACACTTCGCTAAAAAAAACTTTTTCCTTTCCCCCCCATCCCTTCTTGCCCTCCCCTCTGTTGCCCCCTTCCTTCCCCCTCTCCTCTCGTGTCTCCCCCGCCATGTTAGCTGCGAAGAGGCAAGATGGAGGGTTGTTTAAGGGCCCACCATACCCGGGTTATCCCTTTATAATGATCCCCGACCTCAGCAGCCCGTATCTGCCCAACGGATCGCTCTCTCCGACGGCGAGGACGGTGAGTGCCTTTTTTTTTTTTTGTGTGCCTTTTCTTCCCTCATCTCCTCCCCCCCCCCCCCAGCGCCGCGCTCCCCGCTGCCCCCGCTCGGCCCCGGCCCCGCCGCCCCCTCCCCCGCGCCGCAAACTTTGCGAACTCGGCGGGCGGCGGCGGGAGGGGGTTTGTTTACACTTCGCCATGTTGCTTCTCTCCTTCGCTCCTTTCCTGGTTTTTGTTTTATTTCTTTTTTTATTTTATTTTATTTTATTCCTTTTCGATTTGTTTTTTACTTTCAGTTTTACGGGCTGCTTGCTGGAGCCCTCCGATGTGGGGTTTAGAGGAGGGAGGAGGGGGAAAAACAAGAGGGGGGAAAAAAGCAACAAAAAGGAAAGCGGCCTCAAAAGTAAAGTAGGAACGAAGCAAGGAAAAAAGAAAACCCGCAGAATCGGGAAGTTTTATTTTTTTTTCCCTAACAATTACTATATTTGTTTTCACGCCCCTCTCCCCTCGCTAAGCGGGGAGCGGCCGCTGCCCCGCCGGCCCCTGCCCTCCTCCGCGCCGCCGGCCCGGCTCCGGCTCCCCCTCCCCTTTCCTCCCCCTTAACCCTCTCCTGCCCTCGGCCGGCCTCTTGCCCCGCTGCCCCTCCCGGCCCCGCCGCCCTCCTCCCGCTCCGGGGCCCGCGGCGCGGCGCGGAGCCGCTCCGGGAGCTGAGAGCGCGGCAGGCCCGGCCCTGCGCCGCACCGCACCGCACCGCACCGCACCTGGGCCCGGGCGGGAGGGGAGGGCCGGAGCCGGAGTCGGGGATCGCCTCTTTGCGAACTGTAACAGCGAAATCGAAGCGAGTCGAGCGAAATTCCTGCTGCAAGCGTGCTGGCAACACGCGTTGTGCTGAAAGCGTCCTCTTCTTGTTGAGCTTTCTTTTTATTTTTTCTTTTTCTTTTTTTTTTTCTTCCCCAAATTGTTTTGTATTTAATCCCGAGGGCAGGGTGCGCCTGCCCCTGCGTGTGAGCGGCGCCGGGCTGAGCCCCGCTCCTGGCGTCCCGCGGAACTCCGGGGGCTGCAGCGGGGCCCGGGCTCAGCGCTGCGCTCCGCCTGCCCGGGGCAGCGCTGCCGTCCCATCCCCTTCCCGTTCCGTCCCTTCTTGGCGGTGGTGGCTTAATTCTTAGCTAAAGCGATGAAATCCAGCGGGGTACAAAATGCTGTCGATGGGCTTACAGTGTCGTTTTGTTCCTTCTGGGCGCTTCTCAGTCCCGACAGTCCCCATGTGTGTTTATACACTTTTTTTTTTTTTCTTTCCTTGCGGTAACACGAGATAGCAATTTACAATAATAGATCCACTGTTCCAGAGATGTTGTAGCCACGCTAATGACTGAGGTCTTGGGCAGCTTCAGCGTATCGGATCTACAAGTGTTTTACAGCATTAAAATATTAACATCGGGTCAGCCGTGTTTCCATCCAGTGGAACGTCAGCGGGGCGGCACTGGTGGCTGTGCGGGGCTGTGAGGTGCTGTGCCGTGCCGTGCCCCCCAGCTGTGCGGGGCTGTGCGGTGGCGGAGGGGCACTGCAGTTGGCAGTGTGATGGCCGGGAGGGGAGGTCAGGGCTGGACGCGCGTTTCTTCTTTTGAATATGGTCACTCCTAAGTGTACGGGTGATGGGGGTGAACCTCAAACCCTGGAAGCGCAGGGATCCAGACCATCAAACAATCTTTGATACAAATGACTTCGGAACAAGTCACTTGGTTACAAAGTAGCAGCATTGTGTTCCTTTCTTGTTTCTTTTTGCTTGAAAGGCATTCCCCTCTCTCAAGCACAGGTTATAGGAAGAACAGCTTCTCTTCCCTTTCCTTAAGCGTCTTTCTTACAGCAGATTCAGTTCTTCATTTTCCTTTTAATCACTGCATTTCCCAGACCCTCTCTCCCTCCGCTTGCAAACAGGGGTTCCCTTGCAGTTTCCCTCTATTCCTCCACTTGCTCCCCGCAGCTAAAAAGGCCTCCATAGGAATGTGGCATTAGTGGGAGTCAGAGGTGCTGCCCAGGGGATGCCACGCTGCGTGGCAGGTGTGGCAGGTGGCCTTCTCCCGTTATCAGATGGGATCTGAAGAGATTTCCACACTCTGTAGGCAGTTTTTTCCCTGGCAACCTCCTCGTATCTTCCTAACCTTATTCTTTCACATTCTGCGTGTTTGTTTGTTTGCCGACAACTTAATTATAGCCTGGAAAAATTAAAGTTATTAATTGAGTCCTGAGAGCAGGATGTTACAAGGACCGAGCGGGATGGCAGCTGCTGTCACACTGCTGTTAGTGGATGCTGGCTATCTGCTGCACAGCTTCCTATTCCAGACAAATTAGATCATGCTCTTTATTGTTTATTTCTATTTTTTTTAATACGTGTTGAAAATGTATAGATAATTCAGTGCCGTTTTTAATTTTATTTTTATTGATGTAGTTTTTCCAGAAACCTTATTTGAGGTTTAGGACATGCAAGGTCGAGGTGATGCAGATATGTGACAGAACTGCTTTTCCTTTCCTTTTGCTGTTGCATAGAACCTTAAAGATTTGTGGGTGTGGTTTTTTGTTGCTTTATTTTTTCCTACTGACTTTTTCCTTTTTCTGGGGTGGTGGTGTTGTGTGTAGTGGGATCGCTGTTTATTTTATTTTATTTTGTCAGTGTCTCTGTAATTGTCTGTTCAACACATGGGCAGCGATTCCTGCTTTACTGTTACATGAATGTGTGGAGTATCATAAAATCTGCTTATGATGAATAATATATTATCTAAAGAATAATGCTTCAGTTGCTGAAAACTCTTTATAAAAGCAGGATAGGAATAATTTTATAAGCCAAAGATTTTTTTTTTTTGCATGTTAAGGTTGCTTCTGACAGAAGCATTGCTTGCAAGAATAGCTGTGTGCTGCGTGGAGATCTGGTCACATACTAATGAAGTAATGCATCCGAGAATGCAGTTTCATACCTATGCTTGCAGAGGATCCGGGGGAGCTGCCTGATAGGGATAATAAAGGACATTGTTTTCGTTTTGGAGTTGGAAATGAAAAAGTGGTTTATTTCATATCGATCCTACATTTAGATCTTGGTTAATACATTTGGTATTGGAGCAAATAGATGCGTTGTGACTTGAGAAAGCCCTGCTGGCTGAAGTCTCATTTTTATTGGTGCAGTTGCATCTTCCTTTCCCCCAAACTGGTGCTTGCTAAGTGGTGTTGTAGGGGTGAGCTTGTGTTTGGTCCTGAAGTGTGCAAGTTTGGAATGGCTGTAGGGGAGAGCAGCCCCCAGCTCACAGCATAGGTCCAGGAAGAAACTTTTTCCTGTAACTGCTTTGAAAAATGGATGTTTTCCTTTATCTGCTGAATGAAACAACATAATCCTTCCTGACACAAAAGCAGCAGACCCAGGAGTGCGAAGGGTTAATGGTGGTCCCTTTTTTTTCCTCCCTCCAATTGTTTTGACAACACTTTTCAAAGTGTGACATTCCAAGCCCTTGCAATACAATGTAATATTACTGTAATTACACAGGTCATTACATTTTAAATAGAGAACAATAAAATGCTTATCGCACTGAAAAAGAACAGGTGTTCTTGCCCTTCTTTGGTATTTATGCTAATTGTTTTTCATCTCCTTCAGAAATATTTATGGCTGGCGTGTTAAGATTTCAGTCTCGATGCGACAATATTAATTCTTTGCTAATCTTTATGGTTGAGGTTTAATGTCTGCAGTATGGATTATAGTATTAACATCCACCAACTCATTTAATAATGTAGGTACAACTTAATATGTCAGCACTTTAGTACTTTATGATACATAGCTATTCAATGGAGACTGCATTATTCACTTTTGTTTTTTTTATTGAATAGATGTGCTTTTATAAAGTTTCTGGACTTGTGCAAAACAAGCTATTAAATAAGAACTGATGATCCTGCAGCATAAATCAAACGGAACCTCTGTAAAGAAACTTTCCTCATGCTTAATTAGGTAGATTGCTGAATCACTGCTATAGCATTAGCATAGCTGCTATACAATGGCAAACAGATTGGGTCTGTTAACTTATTTCCAGTAAGGAATCTGAGTTATTTTGAATTCTCTTCTTTTTCTTTTTATTTTCTTTTTATTATTTTTTTCTGATAGCATTTCTTTCTGGAGCAAACATTGCATTGCTGAGTCCACCAGCTTCTCTTTAGGGGGCTGTGAAAATTAGTTAGAGAAAAGTTTCATGTTTCTGGGACCTTGCAAAACAATATAATGCAGCACTGTTACTGGAGCATACCGGATAATTGCAGGACTGCACTTCATTAAAAATAATATTTGCCTTGGAAATCAAACAATTTTAATAGCTGCAGCAGTGGCTGATCTATACTGGAAAAAAAAAAATACAGTAGACACCTTTCCTGGCTTTTTTTGAATGCATTCACACATGAATTGATGATTTTGAGTGTATTTTATTTATTTATTTTTCCTTCCCTCCTCCTTCCTCTTCATTTTTTTTTGTTCAAGCAAATATGTGCTGATTTGTCAGCTGGAGGCAGGGAGGGGGATATGTCACAGCTTTCATTGAGGCTTTTAAACCAGAATGTAGGTAGAAATGTTTTAAATTTGTCAGACTTTCAAGACCGGGCCCCAAAATCAGATTTAAAAAAAAAAAAAAAAAAAAAAAAAAAAAAAAAAAAAAAGTAGTGTAGAGAAAAAAGACAGCTGCAGATTTTTTGTGTGGACGTGTGTTTCTGTACCATGACTAAAAACTCTGAGGACCTTTCCCCAGCTGTCTGGGAGTTATGTGGAAGTTGGATTATTGGCAGTTAAGCATGAGACAACCTGGATTTAGCAAATGTTCTCCTGCACAGGAAGTCGATGACATTATACTGGGGGAAGGGAGCGGATCCCGCTACAGGCGAAGCTTGGGGGGGAGTCTGCTCCCCCCCCTCCAGGGCAGCCCAAAAGCAGCACTTGCAGTAGGCAAGGCGAAATAGGAAAGTGGTGGGTTTCTTTTTTCTCTCCCTTTCACTCTCTTTTT